CCCTGACAGCACAGGGAACTCATCATAGGATGCTTATTCATGAGGGGGAACATCCCTTGATCCTTCGCTTGATTTCTATATCACAGTTTTTTAACACCAATCTCTCCCAAATCCTGCCCTTTTCACGCTCTGTAGTTCACCTCTGTTGTCTGATTTCTCCTTTATGTGCATCCAGGGAGCAGAAGCGGCAGTTCCAGGAGTTGGTGGAGGTCAAGTTCCACGAGTGGCTTCTGGAGAAGGGGCACAGGCAGGAACTTGACAGCCTTATCCCACCCACCATAGCCTCTTTAAAGGACTCCGACAGGCCTGCAACAGACACGCTCCGAGATAATGATGCCAAACATATAAGGACTGGACGGGCAGTGGGACAGTCACCTATGGCTTGTTGAATTGTTGGGTTAGTCTTGTTTGGGTCTTAGCCAGCAGGATAAATGTACCTGGAAATAAAGGTAGCACAAAAATATGCACAGACAGGCTACATATGGTCTGACATTTGGAGTATGCTAACAGAAAGTGTTATTGGACAGTTTGTGGTTGTTTACACCTTACTCTGAGAGTCTCTGATCCAGCTTTTACAGCAACTTTACTCATTCTTGAGTGGAAGGCTTGTATGGGCTGCTTTACAGTTCCTTCTTAAGACAAGGCAGCTAAGCCCTTAACACATCAAAGCCAAGTAGGGAGTGGGCTGGCATGTTGTAAGATAACATTGTAAGCTATAGACTTTAAGAAAAAAACACAGGTTAAGGATCTGTTATGTCACTTCAGGCGCTTGAAGGGACAGTTTAAACCTTAGATTGGGTTTACTGCTGAAGGGTCATCTTTTCGGAGACAGAAAATCTAACTTTGGTCAAAAAAAGTGGGTGCAGCTAAAGAGGGACAATGACCAGACCGGTCAGTCATGCAGAAATGACCTAAAATGTGTTCTCGAAGCATTAATAGCTCTTTAATGCAATTATTCTCAGAATCTGCATTAATATACAGTTTGAGAACTGAAATCCACTTATTACCCTGTTTTCTTAAACTGAAAGCACTTGTGATTGGTATGAACACTCATAGCAGCAGTGGTGGTTGCTGCTTTGTTCCTGGAGAACTGCTGTGAACACTTTGGGTCTCTTTCGTAAGCCTGGAGTGATTCTCACCATTTCTTCCCAAACTGTGCCCATGTATGTAAACTACATGCTGTTTTCTGTAAAAAGAAAAATGTTAAGGGAAGTTGACACACGTGTATTCAAAGATGGCGAAAGCTAAATACATTTTGCACTTTGGATAGTAAGGATGTGTTAGGGCTCTTACAGTTACTCACTCAGGTCATAGTATTTTTTTGTGTTATTAGAATATAACAAATAGCAATCAAGCATTTCCTGTTGTGGGGGAAAGAGAAAGAATATAACAAGTTATTGTAGGTATGCGATTTCACCGTCCAGACTTATTAACACATTTTATGTACAGAGAGGGTATGTCAATACCTGTAGCTACATTGCTCTACAGAGGCTGAACCTTTCAAGCATGTTGAATTTCTCGCCACACTTATTCACACGGTAGGGGTTTTCACAGGATGTCAAAGGGAAATATTTGCTATGACATTGGTGACTGCTCTGTGCCGAACATATACAACATGAACATGCAGCAGCAAATGCTCTGTTCTGTGATTAATCAAGGACTTAACTGTTAATTTCCAAAGTACAACCGAAATAGCTGATTTACTGATGTGCCAAATGAGGCTACATTTCAAAAATATTTAGTCGTATGTTTATTTTTCTATTACATCACCTGTATGAATATGTATATTTTAGCATGATAGTAAGATTATTTTTCATAAATCTACCCTGCCTCTGCACTATTTTTGGCATTCATTACATCAGCCCATTAGCTTCCTGTGTCATTACAGCATGCTAGATTTTGACTTTAAACAGATTACATACACATACAATAAAACTTCTGCATATGTAAACAGGCCAGTATTTCACTTAGTTATGGGAATTTACAGGAATATGGATTTGATTTAAAAAAAATAGGTACTGTTAAAATGCTGCTACACACTGGAGAAGACTACTGTAAAAGATTTCAAAATGCTGGTATATGTCTCTTCATTTTCACGATTATAGTGATTAGCTGTACGATGCCTTGCGGCTGTTGCATAGTCAGAAAACGTACCCTTTGATTTGAACACACACACCTCTATGCAGTTACTATATGAAGAGCACAAAATAGTTTACGATTGTTAAAAAATTTAAATGAATAAAAGTTTTGAATAAAACCAGGTCACCTCATTGTTTTGTTTTGTTTTGACCTTTTGGACACAGAAATATGCTCCAAGTTTGATATAACAGGAACCAATTCTTAATTCAGTTCATCTGACTAATAAAAATACATTTAAATTTCAAATAGTACTATTTCTTTATGTGTGGTTATGCAACACTGCCAGTGGTGGAATGTGGCTAGTACCAAGTACCACAATTTTGAGTTACTTGAATTTTACTTGAGTATTCCCATTTTATGTTTCTTTCCGAAAGAAATACTGTAGAAAAAAATACATTTGTTTTCTTTAAGTGATATTTTGAATGGAGGAATTTTTATGGAGTATCTTTATAGTGTGGTATTGCTAATTGTACTTAATAAAGTTTCTGTGTACTTCTTCCACGACTGAACACTGCTCTATCTGGATTCATCCATAAGGCAGAAATAAGTCACGAGGTGCTCACCAGGTGGGGGCAAGCTGGTGGAGCTGGCATGTGTAACATGGTGCGAGAGTCGGAGCGGGGTGGGGGGTGGGCACTGGACACAGCCAGTAGAGAAGTGGGGTCAATGGACGCTTACCATGCCCGGCCATTATGCCGTAATCCTTCCTCGCTTTTCTGGAAAAACTGAATAGCACTAGAATCACTGACTCAATTTTTGGATCTCATTTTCATGACAAAGCGATTGTTCCCCGTTTGCCTCCACTGTTGCTGTTTATAAACGTGGGAAAACGGGGATATAAAAAGGGACTGGTGAGGGGCCAGTGCAGCATCGAGACCTCAGGGGAACCATCGCTTACCCATCACCAAGGCTATCCCACACACTACATCCAAGATGGGCAGGGTGAGTTAAGACAAAGTGGGACTGGCATGGACAAAGTCAGGTAACACTGGCATGTAGATCAAGTATGAATGTGTGGGTTTAAGTTGTAGACAAGGCTGTATATGTAACCGCCTCGGCAGGAATTATTGTGGTTTGGACCTATTTTGATTTACAAGTGAGGCAAGTTTCAAACTGTGTTGTTGACTGGACTGGCCGGTTTTTTGTAGTACTGGGTGTTAAGCTGGAGGTTAAAGCTGCCCTGTCTGTTGACAGAATGAATGCTATTCAATGCTTTCCAATATCAGAGAAGCTTTTTGTAAAGTTTGAGAGACAAAACAGTGACTAAGATGAACCACCGGTTAGACTCGAATGCAGATGACGAGAGCTAAACTCCCATGTGTTGTCCCTACAGATTGTCTTCTATGAGGACAAGAACTTCCAGGGCCGCCGCTACGAGTGCGACAGCGACTGCTCGGATTTCCACGCCTACTTGAGCCGCTGCAACTCCATCCGGGTGGAGAGTGGGGCCTGGGTGGTGTACGAGAGGCCCAACTACATGGGCTACCAATATGTCCTGACCCGGGGGGAGTACCCAGAGTACCAGCGCTGGATGGGCCTCAACGACCGCCTCAGCTCCTGCAAGCTGGTCCACTTTGTAAGTCAGCTATCGCCTGTGATCTGCTGCTGATGCTGAGATCTAACCGACCGTCTGACCTCTTTTATTAAATGTGCTGAACACTGTGTGCAGATCTCTTAATTAACCGCTAACCTGTACAAATGTGACTCCTGGTAGGTTTTTTTTCCTCTCTCAGCAGTGTAGCAGAGGGGTCTGACTTTGTGGGTAATGAACTTCAGGTTCAGACAGTCAGAAGTTAGGTGAACTAATACACAGTGAGAGTAAAACAAACTGACAGGGCACATCAGACAGGTCACACTATGGTGTTGTGACCGGTGACTGCAGGGCTTTGTCAATGGAGACCAATACTTCGGTGAGTCTATTTGTATGATCAGGCTTTGGTCCAAGTGACCCACAGCCTGCAGGCAGATTCGGGGACAGCACTTTCATACAAAAATCGATCTAGTTAGTATAAGCTGCATGTGTACGGTTTCAAATATTTATAGAGGCATGAAACAGGGAGCAAACAATGAGGGATGGTTGATTACATGCATGGAAAAAATAGTTGGTGTTAAAGTTGGTAGATCATTCCAGAAACACTGAGTATATAATCTATACAAAGGCTACTTCACCATGATGCTCATATTATTGTGAGAGCCTAATTATATATGCGGCGCTACAAACTTATACTCCTTTCGTTAGGTGCGAATCTCATCTCCCTATATATCCTCCCTTCCCCTTTTCTCTTACCCCACATCCCCTCCATATTCTTTCCTAACCCCCCTGCACTACCGCCTCCACCCTTCATTCACTACTCTCCACCTGCTACCTCTTTTCACCCATCTTCCATTTTCACCCCCTCTCATCTCCTCCCATACCTCTACCGTCTCCCTCGCTTCCTCCAATCACCTTCCAGACCAGTGGGAGCCAGTACAAGATGCAGCTGTATGAGAAGGCAGACTTCGGGGGCCAGGCCTTCGAGGCCACAGAGGACTGTCCCTCCCTCCTGGAGAAGTTCCGCTGGAGGGAGGTCAACTCCTGTAAGGTCTTCGACGGCTGGTGGGTTTTCTACGAGCACCCCAACTACCGTGGACGCCAGTACTTCCTCGAGAAGGGGGAATACCGCAAGCCAGGAGACTGGGGCGCTGTCAGCCCTACGGTCCAGTCCTTCAGGCGCTTCACTGAATGATTTAACCTTCATCTAAAACGTTAAAACAAAGCAACCTACTATGTCGATATTTTACTATAACTTTCATTGACTATTTTGTGATTTTGAACTGAGGTCTCACAAATAAAAACCTGTCCAATAAGCAGACTAAAGACATTTTTTTTGATTTTCTATTCATGAGATGTTTAATGTCTTTTGAGCCTTTTGTGCCCTTGCATACTTTTACATCTACACTTTGGGGTTCAATAACAATAACAAACCGGGACTTTCAATAGGCCTGAATTGAGCTCTGTTCAAACTGTCCCACATGATTCAAGTGAATCCATTTCATCCTGTCTTCAGTTGTTGATTTGAGCTGCTTAACAGTTTCACAGAACCCTTTAGACTACTTCATCCCAGTACAGGTCTCAGGTCCACAGTGACAGGCTGAAGGTTGAAGTGAGTCCCAAAGGAGAAACAGTTTCCTCCACCACCTATCAGCAGCAGCTCTGGTTCTTCTGGGTCTGTCAGCTCAGAGCAGAATGAGTGGAGCATCAGAGGCCAGGGCACTGAGGTCTAGACATGGCAGAACACACAGTGATTTATTATTCAGCATCTTGCTTGACAGATCCACCTTGAGGCTGCATGATCAATTATTTCAAATCATGATCAAATTACTTTACATGGAGAACTTGATGCCACATTTAGGGCAACAAACCCAGGCCTTTGCCACCTGGGGAGGATGCATCAATTCATCGAGCGCCACTGAAATTAATGTTGTGAAATCCGTGTCCCTTAGGTCCAATAAATGTGAACTGACCGTGTCTAGGCTGAACTCCACACTGCTGCACGTGGAGAGGTTGATCATGACAACGCCTGGTACACCCTCTGAATGCAGCCAAACTCCACCAACAACAACCAGCTTTTCACCGATCACATGGGCAGAGTGAGCGTACCTAAAACAAAGCAAATCTTTTCATTTCTTGTTGCTCTTTAGTGGGTGGTTTTCCTAAGCAGAACAGAGGTTCGTTTTGATGAACTGACTGAGCTCTGGAAAACAACAGACCTGGGAACAGGAGGGGGCTCCGCCTCTATTCTTTCCCAGGAGAAGCCTCTCTCAGTTGGTCTTAACACCACTGTGTCCCCCAGTGGCACCCCCCTTCTGTCTAGTCCTCCAAACACCACCACACCTCCCTGATATGGAAAGGCTGAGTGGGAATGGCGGGCCTCTGGTGCTGCGCCCTCTACTGGGATCTGTAAATAATAGTAATAAAACTCATTTAACCGGACAAACTCGTTGTACATAACTCATTTCAGCCTGATGAAAACTATCTGTTCACAAGTCAGTGCACAAGAATGCATCCCTACAATGACCATAGAAGGCTGCCTGATCCGCTCTGTTTTATTCAAAAAATTGTTACCATTAAGTAAAAATAAGAATTTCACACAGCAGAGCTTAAAGTCGTGCTGTCAGCAGGTATTAGAGGGCCTGAAACAATTAGAACATATTCATAGTACAGCTGCTCACACTTCCCACTTAAGCACGAACCCGTTTGTACGAGTGGCTCTACATGAGGCCCAGTGTAATTTGAAGAGAAGAGAGACACGATCATTTAAGTGCTATGAGTGTGGGCGAAATTAAAAACATATTTATAAAGAAAACACATGGATAGGGACTTAGCAAACCTCAGTCCAGTGCTGCTGGTCTAGACAGAGGAAGTAGCCGTCACCCAGAGCTGCTTCTGATTGATTCTTACCACCAAACACAAACAGAAAGTCTTTACCTGCAGAAAAAATGAAAGGGTTAATTGTACAATAAGTAAGCAAGGATCAAAACGGATGAGTGAGGGACAGAGAGAAAAAGCAACCAGAAAAAATCACATAATGACTTCCTGTTTCATTTCACCTTCGTGACGGACCACAGTAGCAGTGTGCCTCCATCTTGGCGGTGGTGAATCCCCCGTACAGACCATCTGCTCCACACAAAGTTTCACTGTGTCTCGGCCCTTTTGAGAGTCGAGAGGACCAGGTGGACCACTGGGGTCCAGGTTTACTCTTAAAAGGCCTCTTATTGGGTTGAGTGGAGAGGAGCGACCACCGTATACCACAATACCTCCTCCAGGAAGAGAGGTAACAGTGTGGTAGAGTCGAACACCTGGGAGGCAGCACAACAGCCAACTGTTCACACTGGAAGCAAATTTGTTTTCACTTCTCTTGCACGGTTTGATAATAGAGAGAAAAAATATGGTGATACCAGCTAGCTTTTATACGGATTTGGAGAGAAATTCTAAATGTAGTATAAGAGCAAAACTCACTACTGACAGAAAACAAAAAAATCAAAAGCAGCAAGCCCTCTCACCTAAATCTACAGATGGTTCCACACAGACAAATCTCCAGCCTTCCTGGTCCCTGAGGAGGATCCTAGTCACTGCCATCCTGCCCCCTCTGCTGAGCCTCCTGTTAGTAGGACCTGGCCTGGCCTCACCAAGGCGGAAGCCATCCCCAGCCCCTCCATAGAAACTGGTACGGTCCGCAAACTCAGAGCTGTGGCGCTCCAAGATGGGCAAACGGATGACACTGGATATACTTCAGCAAACACACATCAGAAAATCACACAAACGTCACAACCTTCACAACAAAAGCCGTACAGACGTGTGAATAATGTGTCTTAAAGGTGTCAAATAATGAAAGATCGATATTACCGAAGATTCTTTAGTTGGAAGAAGGGAGAGAGAAATAAAGTGATAGCTACCTGGAGCGTGCAAGAGCAAAGCCTGTGCCATCAAAGATCCTCGGGAAGCAGTGAGGATGAAATAGTGGGAACATTTCTGGTGCCACTCCTGAGGGCAGACAGATACAGAGTCAATATTTATTCTAGGATGCATGATTTTATTAAACATGGACAACAGAGAGACAACCACAACCTCACAAAATAAGAAGACGTGAACACAGCTAACCTCATATTCATCAAAAGGCTCCAGGCTCTCCACCCTGCACCTCTCCTCCTCAGGGACCAACCCGAGGTAGAAGTCATTCATGTCCAGACACACACACTCCTCCCAGCCCTGAAGACAAAAACACATTTTTATTAAACAGCACGATGCTATATTATTAAACTATTGCTCGTATCTAATTTTTTTTTGTATTGTATTTTACACTTAATTATTAAAGCACAATTTAAGGAGCTTGCAGACATACATTTCACTATGATTTTACCCTGTATGATTGATTGTGACAAAAAAAAAAAAAAAAGAAATTATAAAGAAAGTCATGCTTTATCATATATTTCTTGATGTAACCAATTAGCACAGAAATAAGAAGTAAACCCCTCTGTTGTCTATACCACTTGATAAAGGTGTTTCATTACACTTAAAGAGCAACAGTAACGTAGCACTAAGTAGATAAATACTGTGTGCATACTGGCCTTGTCCAGGAACCTGTGTCTCTGTGCAGCAGTGTCTGGGTACTGTCGAAGGGCATGTAGAGTTGAATTTAGTTTCAGGAAATGATCTTGCATGATCTGACCAAAGGGATCGTGGGGATGTATCTGCTCGTACATGACGAAGAGTGACTGTGGCAAGAGCTTTGCCGCCCAACTAATGACAGCATCGGACCTGGAAGACACACAACATGTAACTACTACAAACAGACATTAGAGATGTATGATTATGGCTAAGACAATAATCATGCTTATTTTGCAGGTTGATGATGTAATTATTGTACCTAAGCTAAGATCAAAATACAGTACCTGGTTTTAAAGTATCTCTTTTGTATACACAAAAAGGATGATATGGGCCCCTAATTTGACAAAATTGCAGTCCTTACCATTGTGTTTCCATGTATGTAAGTACCACTTCAGATAAGATTAGCGTAGGGGCAGCCCAGTCCAGACCAGCTGCACCCAGAGCTTCTTCCACCTGGGACTCCTGTCTAACATCCACCCCTAGCAGATGGTACTGACCACTAGACACATATAAAGGTCCTGCAGACACACAGGCAGACAGCTGGTTATGAAATCTAACATAACTTATATGTGCATTTCTTTCTAGACTTCTGAAAAGACAATAAAATAACACGTGTGTTCGGTGTAAAACAAATACCAAACCTGTAAGGGAAGGTAAATGCGAGTCTAACATCCCCCTCAGGGTAATATTAGAACTAATGAGAGCAGCCTTGCGTCGCGTGACATCAGGAAAATCAACCTCAAACACAACAGCCCTGTCCAAAGCGTCATCTGCGTGTAGGCGAAAATACGTAGAGTCAAACCCTGCGCCCAATGACAAAATCTAAAAAAAACAATGGGGAAAGATAACACCAGAGGGAGTAAGAAACCATCCCCCCCAGAAATGATGGTACATAAAATACATGCCAACTTTCTACACAACATAGTGTTGGAAAATAAAAAGTTAATTTGCCTGTCTCTTGGGGCAGTTTTCAGTAACGTGTAGGAACCTCCTCACACAGTGGTCCACAGCTCTCCAGCGTACATAGTAACCCCTAAAACATGCAAATACACTTATTATATATTGTTTACTGTGTTCCGTACACTACTTGTATACAACTGAAGACATATTGAACTCTACGATAGACATGTTTCACTATTCTAAGATATTTTATAGACCAAATGATTAATCGACAAATATCTGTAGATCATTCCCATAATGAACGTTAGGTGTTACAGTAGTAACAGTTTAGCCTGTCCTTGCAGTACATATAACTATTTAGACACATTACAATGTAATTAATTATTTACCCCACTTCTGTCCTGCTTTGTGTATCACCTCATGGTACAAGATCTGATGCTTAACACACATTCACCCTCTATGGCGGCGCTCTTTGTACTGCTATGACTCCTGCACTCTTCCCTTACACATTAGAGTAATCCCATCCCATCCCAAATGTCCAGATTTTACACCACTGTCAAACGCAGGCCAACTCCTGTGCATGTATTTTGTGCGCTCAATAAAGTGATTGTGAGCATGATCGCAAGATGAAGATCCCCGCTGACCTGTTGATGAGTGGGGCTCTCCTGGCTGCTTTGTACACAAAGTGTTGTAGGAAGAAATCCTGGAAGTAGCCCTGCGCTGCAGCAGACACTTTGCTCACCACACTGCTGTCGTTGGTTCCCTGTACCTGTGTCAAGCAAGAAAAACACAAATTATTATTACTGTATACGCCTACGCCTGAGACCAGTTTGATTTACCTTTTGACAGCAGTGGAAGAAAATACTATAAAAATAAGCCATTACAAGCAAAGTCCTTCATTGAAAATGTTGAAAGTACATAGATATTCTTGCCAAAATGTACTTTTGAAAGTACCAAAAATGGAAGAATTCAATGCAGAAAAATGCCCTCTGTGAGTGTTATACTGTAATACATTAAGTTATTGGATTACTGATGTACTGATGACAATGACATAACGTAACAGTATTTTTTCCTCATACCTGTACAGTCACTGTGCAATCATACATACAATATAATGTACTCTAAATTATACTGCTGAATTTATTTATGTCCTGTGCAATCATTCATTTATTTATTTTCTACACCATGCCACTATCTCCTGCTGCGACCTGTGCAATGTTTATATCAATGGTATGTATATAACTTATTCTTATTTTTCTATTCCTACTCTAGATTATATTTTTCCATTCAATTTTTATATCTAATGTGTATTTTTCTACCTGTTGTGTTTGTGTTGTATCTGGAGCTGCTTTAACAAGTGAATTTCCCCAGTGTTGGATCAAGTCTATCTTTATCATATTATGTAACATTATGGCGTTATTGTATTATTGATGGCTGAGCTCAAGCAAACTGTTATAGCTAAAAGTATTTTATACACTTTTGAGTAGTTTAATACACAACGATGCTTCACATTTTATAAGGTCATCGTGTTTGTATGTGAAATATTCAAAAAGTACAAGAACATCAGGTACAGTCATTAGTTTCAATCCACCACTGTAACTTAGTTTTATAGTAACGTTAGTAAGTTAATATAGGGACTGAAGAAGTGAGACCTACCGCCGTGTCCCTCCCCTTCTGCTTCTTTCTGTTTGTCGTTGGCATAATGTCAACAAGCCTTCACATCACCTCGCAGATAAACTCCAACACACATTGTGCAGTGTAATAAATAAGCGTTCATAGGAAAGTCAGTCCACTGATCAAAACAATTCAAACATCCTTCATGTGGGAAATACTTCCGAGTGGCTTCCTGCCCGCGATCGTGCGCCCCCTGCGGTTTGGAGGTCATTTACATATCGTTCAAAACCCCATTCAAATTATTCATACTTTAAGCAGTGGTGGACGAAGGATTGAGATCCTTTACTGAAGTAAAAGTACTAACATCACACTGTAAAATACTCTATTACTAGTAAAAGTAACCCACAGCACTAAAAATGTTACTTATGTAAAAGTCTAATCAGGAAAATGTACTTAAATTAGGCCTATTTAAAGTAAAATTATTCAAAGCAGTAAAATGTCCCATTTGACTGTTAAACCAGTATATATTATATCATAATACACTCGTGCACATTCATGTAAAAGCAGGATTTTACTGGTAGAACTTATTTTGAATTATTTTCTTTCGGACTGTAACTAATAACTTCATCATGAAATAATATGCTGATTATTTTCTCCATTAATTGATTAAAATATGGAAAATGCCACAGACACCCAGAGCCCAAAGTGACACCTTCATAACACTGAGGAGGAGGAGGAATGCGGTTCTTCTTCTCTTCACGGGATTGACAATGCGGCAATCAGTGCGCATGCGTCACTTTACAGGAAGCGTTTTTCTTTAACCAGCTGATAGCCAGATTGTCAACAGTGAATCCTGCGATACCAGCGCTTTTGAAACGACAGCATATATACGGTAAATATTTTTATATTTCCCCCTCAGTAGTGATATGTTAATCACATGAACAGGTAGCAGTGGTATGTTTAACAGGGGCGTCGAAATATAAAGCTTTTGATTCAGTTCTGTCTTGTCCGACCTGAGTGGCCGGAGCGGTGTCCCGTTAGCACATAACGCAAAATAAGGGCTGCTGATCTGATAACGTTTACTGGAGGGAGTAACCATAACGGTAATAGTGACAAGAGTGCAGGAGTGGCGGCCGCCGTCTGTCCAGAGACTTCACACTACTGACGTCGAGGTTGGAGTAATGTTTTTGAAATCTGCTGCAGTGATGGATGTAAAGCATTGTTGTCTGAGAGGTGGGAAACATCAGTGTGAGGCGCAGCATCTCTGTTAAAGCTCAAGTTTCACTGCATGAAAATGGGACACTGCTTGCAACGGGCAGTGTATGTTTTTGCACACGCAGGGCTGGTAAATGTTAAGCAATGCAGCTGCAGCGCAAACTTCTTCTTCTCTTGCTATTCCTTGGTTTGGTGCCAAGGAAATCTCCACCCTTCCTTATAAAACCCTAATCTTTAGACTTTGTTCATGCACTAGAAGGGGCCTTCGTTGCTCTGAGGAGGAAAGAAAAGTGTATTTGAGGCAAGGTACGATGTAAACACAGTAGATATTCAGGGTTGCTAAATGTAAGTAACGCAGTTGCAATGAAAACTTTTGCGGTTCTTTGACTCCTTGACATGCCCCCTCTATAAAACCCTAATCTTTAGACTGGAAGAGGCCTTTGTTGCCCTGAGGAGGAAAGAAATGTGTATTTAAGGTGAGGTTAGATGTAAAAACAGTAGACATTCAGGTTTGGTAAATGTAAGCAATGCAAACCTTTGCTATTCCTTGAATTCATGTTAGATCTCCACCTCCTTATAAACCCCCAATCTTCAGACTTGCACTGGAAGAACGTGTTGCCTTGATAAAGAAAGAAAGGTGCTTATGAGGTAAGGCATGATGTAATCTAAACAAAACATTTCACTTCTTCAGCTCGGAGTTAAGAGAGGTCAAGACACCGTCAGTGAGACTTGACCACACTCGGTTTGGAAGGCAGCGCAAGTGGCTGATATCCCAGAAGCACCTACATCTACTCCAGGGAGGAGCCCCAGCCCCCCTGCCGTTCTGCTACACGGGCCGGTATGAGCTCCAGAGGGAGTGGAGGCCGCTCCAACGGCACACTACCACAAACCAAGATCTGCCAGTTCAAGTTGGTGCTCCTGGGTGACATGGCTGTGGGCAAGTCCAGCCTGGTGCTGCGTTTTGTCAAGGGGCAATTCGACGAGTTCCAGGAGACAACCATAGGAGGTGAAGACTGGGAAGTGTGGACAGTGTGTGTGTGTTTGTGTGAGGGGGGAAGAAGTTGTTTGCTAAAATCAGGTGATCAAAGGGGTAGCAATTGGGATAGTGATGGGAGGTTATTATTATTATTATTTTTAAAACACCTGGCAACATGTTATTTCCCCCTTCTTCCGTCCAGCTGCATTTCTGGCTCAGTCCGTGTGCCTAGATGATACCACTGTGAAGTTTGAGATCTGGGACACCGCAGGACAAGAGCGATACCATAGCCTGGCTCCTATGTACTACCGTGGCGCTCAGGCTGCTATCGTTGTCTTTGACATCACCAAGCCGGTATAGTATAAACAGATGTATTCATTAGTATTAGTACGTAATCACTGTCGCTGCCTGCAGAAGTGTTTGTCAAATAAGTGAAGACATTCTTTTACTTAACGGTGACGCAGCCTGAACCTTCATATTTGTGTGTAATTTGCCATTCTGATTTTATATCAATATGATAGAAGTTTACAGTCCAGTTTGTCCCCTAACTGATGAATAAATTCCTATATTGATATATTATTCATGCACAGCTTTCACGACCTCTGTCATTTTTTCCTGCTAATTAAATATGTGTCAGTGGTTTATCTGACCTTGGTGCTGTGTTTGTATAGGAGACTTTCGAGAGAGCCAAGGCCTGGGTGAAGGAGCTGCAGAGGCAGGCCAGTCCCAACATTGTTATCGCCCTGGCCGGGAACAAGGCTGACCTGGCAGAGAGGAGACTAGTAGAGTACGAGGTAACACACTCCCGTCTGACCCATTTTGTGGGCTGTAGCCTAAACTAAATCAGAAATGATTACCTCTCTGAAGCTGGACGGTAATTACTGCTGATGACAGGTGACATATGTCTCTGTGTGCTTTAAGCCTATAAGCCTACAGTCGAGCTTACAGTTGAGATTGTAGTGGTCCAGGTGGAGGTGTTCCAATGCTAGCAGATTTTGATTAAAAGTGGGAGTGGGCTTGTGTGCACAATTTCACAAAAAGATCAGAAAGTAGAGCACAAGGATCAAATTGTTGTGATGTCCGCCACGCATAAAAACACAGTTGGAAAAGTCATAACGAGCCAGCTGCTACCTGACCTTTTCTTGCTGCAGAGGCGGCACATCACAGCTCAGAGGTTTGTGTAGTGGCGTCAAAGGTCTGTGCTCGACTGAGTGCCTGCTATTTGTAGATAAGAAACATTTTAGCTCTTCTTAAGGTAAAGGCTTAAAAGTATTTTTATAGTGTTTGAAAACCTACAAATTACTGCTGATGCTATATTAATATTTGTTTGTGTGTTGTATGCCACAGGAAGCCCAGACATACTCTGAAGACACTGGCTTGCTCTTTATGGAGACTTCTGCCAAGACAGCAATGAACGTCAATGATCTCTTCCTGGCCATCGGTGAGTACCCTTTATTTACAGTTTAACAAAAGAAATGTGACTTTTATTCCAGAATAGAATGGGATTTAGGCCAAAGGAGTCATTACATCTGCTTAAAGGACCTGTGTGTAGGATTTAGTGGCATCTAGAAAGGTTGCAGATTGCAACCAACTAAATAGCCCTCGCTTTTCAAGCGTGTAGGAGACAGTGGCCTTAAAACTTGCAAGAAAGGGGAAAGGCCATCTTTAGAGCAATTCTGCCATATTCCAAAGTCCAAAATGTACCATTTGGCTCATCCCCAGATGTGACCATATTCAGACGAAGATGGCGCTAGCTAGCTTTGTTAGCAAAGTGAATCCATAATTCATGTTAAGTGTTCTAATAATTGGGATGTCAATTTTGGCGAAAAACAGGCTTAAAATAAAAAGGTACTTACCAGAGAAAATGAACAGCTGACTCCTTGGTGTTTTTGGCTCACTGTCTCTTACTACAAAAAGAAAATCATGCTGAAGAACACTTGAAACTAGCGACTGAGAGCATAAACTCATTAGGAAAGTGTTTACTGAGGTAATAAATCAGATGAGAAGCCTCATTTTCTCATTGACATTTTAATGAATGGATGAAGCCTCTCCACAGGTTTGAATGAAAAGCAGTGAAGCCAGTTTTTGGTCCTATGTAGCTACTGCACATGATTGTGTAGTGTAAGACGCAGTATAACAATGCAGTGCAACGGCAGAAACACAGTAATTCTGGTAACTGCATGGCTGCACCCGGCTGCTCCAACAAAATATTTTGTTGTCCCATTGTGTTTGTCTGACTCAGACTGTGACTGTTTAATCAGCCAACCTACAAGGCTCACTTGCCCAAAACCAACGTAGCGTCACGGATAGCCATTCGTTTTAAAAAAAAATTTTTTTTTGTATAGTTTATCTAAACTATACAATTTTATCTCATGTGTGTTGGGATGTCGTTGTGACATAATTTTTGGGCCTACATGGAACCCTTCATGCAGGCTTTGTCAGTGCCAAATCTGTACCGCCTGCCGGATCCGTTCTGCACATGCGCAAAAGTGGTTCCGTCAGTCAAAGGTTACTCTAAATCTGCCTATTCAAAATGATCCAACTGAATCTTTCAAATAAAGATAAAAAAATGTTTTTTAATTACTGAAGATTAAACTGTTCACTATGATATGAGGTAATAGGAATATACTCAAGATAAGAAAAGCCTTATTCAACAGTACGTTTTTAATTTCTAATAGTGACAATCTAACAAAGGAGCTAGCAGCTGTAGGGTTAGCCGGTCGACATGCATACGGTCACTGACTTTGGTTTAGGCACACACCCCTGTCATGGTTAGGGTAAGGATAAGGGGGTTTGGCAAGCTGTCAACGCCTTATTTACTAACATAGCTAGCTACCTAGCTAGCTACTAGCGCTTCCGGGCTATACAGGGTATCTCATCCGCACGCCGAAGGGTACCTTTTGCATCAAATAATGCTTTGTCAGCCTTTCTGACGCCCTGAGATGAGAACAGACAACACATGAATAATTACAGGCACATTTTTGGTAACGTTCTTTGACAGACAGGACCACTTTTGCGCATGTGCAGAAAGGGATCTGGCAGGCAGCCCGGATTTGGTCTCTACAGGCTTCACTGTTCAAAATCTCGCTTACCCCCTACTCATTTTGTCACTGTACAATACAACAGACTTCTTTTTGCAACCAGTGGTGTCGCCGTCGCATTGGCTTCACTTTTCAAACACAGAGGTTTGCTGTTCGCTGTTTGTCAGGATGGGTATGGTGGACAGTGAGGGTCACATTAGTCTCAGCCAGTGCAAAACACAGCAACATAAACCTGGCCCTACGATACAATTGCAAACTATTACCAGGCACCTGGCCAATGACCCCAATTTGTTTTTCCACCAAATCTAAAATACCCCGCATATCTGCCAAAGATCCACCTCAATCTTACACACTGGTCCTTTTTAAGAGATTATGTCTTTGGTCTAGGTTGGTTAGCAGCACATGTCAAGAACTCGCTCACAGACTTAAATGACATTTAGTGGGAAGTAAGCCATGGGTCAGTGAAAAAGTGATTCCATTTTTGATGCAGATTCACATTCATGAATCTTTGAAAGGGTTACCAGACATGACGACTTAATGAGCTTTGAAAAAATGAGGCACATGAGCTCATTTTCGGGGCAGATCTGACAGGCGATTTGCACTGCACTTGTCTGGTACATGTATCCATGATTATCTATCACTTTTGGTGTGCATCTAAATTCAGATGCGGATACAGGATTTTTATTTTTTTTAACAATATCAATATATTTGAAAGTTTTTTTTATTTTCTCCTGACTCTTGGTCGATATGAGTACTTCCTCAGTCAGAAAATAGAGCATGTTTTTAAATTTGATGTCAAAATATTTTACTTTATCTTCTTAATGTAGCAAAAAAGATGCCAAAAACAGACACCCAAAACCCTACACATGCAGCACGACATCGTGGAGTCAACCTCCAGGACCCAGATGCCCACTCTACCAGAGCCTGCTGTGGTGGGAACTAGACCTCCACAACGCTCACCAGTATCTCACAATCCACACCACCACAGCCCTCCTCCTTCAACCAACTTACAGGGGTGGGCCTGATGTGGGGTAACCAAGTATCCATTCACTCCCTTACCCTCCATTCATCCTCCTGTCCAAGCAGACAGAAATTCAGAGACAGAAAATCAAAGGAAAGAATAAGAGGAACGAAAGAGCAAGTAGAAATGGAAGAGGAAGACACGAGTGTTTCACAACCGTCTCTCTTGACCAACAACTGAGATTCTGCATTTGGAATATACAAATGGAGGTATATTAAAGACTGAGATCGAGAAGAAGGAAATAAAGAATGGGGAAGACAGTGGCAAGCCAGTTGCAGTACTTAGCACTAATCGTGATTATTTCGTTTTCATTCTGCCTTGCATAATTTCAGTCATGGCTCCGATTGCATAAAAATGCACAAAATGAGGAGCACACGCTGGCAAGAGGCCAAGAAAGGAGGGGAGAAAAAAAAACTAAAAAAACCCCGCCAAGACATAAAAAAAAAAAAAAAAAAACACAGAAGCCAAAATGGTTACGCTGTGGCTGCTTTCTTCTTCCCCTTTGTCAGAGCTTGCATCTGCTCGCTTTGCCTCCCTCTAGTCTTGAATCAATCAAATCCTGCTGTGAATAACGCCACATATTGTACCCCTGGAATGATCCCACAATTCTTAAACCCTCTGTCCTGCCTGACCTTCCCTGGTGTCACTGGTCCTGTCCAGGCCCACATTAGATAAGACCCATGGCACAGTTTGCCCAACATAAGTCCGTTTGTACGTATTTATCGTCCAGTGTTTTGACTTCTCGTGACTGCTGGTAGGCACTCCATATTTCTCCTCCTTTTATCCAGACAGAAACTCATTATGTGAGGCAACCATTTAAACTAAGTTCTAATTTAACGGGATTGTTTGTCTTTACAAGGTTGATGATTTTACAGTTGGTCCAACAGACTTGCTTATTGTATTGAAAAATTATTTTGGGTTTTGTTGCCTGGCTTGAGTGCTCTGCGAAGCACCACAGGCTGTAGCTCTTATCATCAACAATAGACTCGATTTGGAGTATATGTAGTCACTTGATTTAAAATTGTTATATATGAACTGTGAGCTCTAACAAATTACATGTCTGCAGCAGAGAACATGTCCCCCAAACCTTAAGAAAGCAGTAAGCTTGATCTAATTTTTTAATTAGTGTGGTTGTCCACGTATGGCTCTGCCCAGATAAAATTATCGGCATCAGATAAATGACATTGGGGGTCAGGGTCCTCACAGAAAAACAGTTCAGTACAGAATGTAAGGCAGGAAGATAACAAAACATAATATTTGTAATAAACCTGTACCATCTTGTGTTTAATGTGTCCATCTGTCCCTTGTCCCAAGGCTAAATTGTTGAACATGAAATCATAGTGATCTTAAAATTGTTTTACTGATTCATTTAATTTAATATGATGCTCTTAAAACGGGGTTGTGTGCTTGGTTACTGTCCAAAGCTTGCCTGAAGAAAACGAGGAAAGAATTGATGTAAACACAAAAAACAAACAAAAGTGCCTATTCCCAGTTTTCTTTTTCTGTAAATCACATTTGGGGCTTTGTTTAAGTGTGTGCTTCATAGGCAATGTGCAGGAGAACCATTTCCCTGACAATGGCGTAGTATAAACAAATATCTTGGCACCCTGTCATAAGGCTATATACTGTATTGGCTCTTTGTATGGATGTAAAGAGGTCTTGTTGAATACACTGTATGTTATATATTGTCTTAATTTTAAAGAAAGTGTATGTTTTTAGCAGAGCACACCCGTGAACCTGGAGTGGACCATTGAAGAAAAAAAAAAAGAAAAAAAAAAAAAGAACTAATCAGTTATAAATCTCTTTGATTTAAACGAATATTGGTGTCCAGGAAAGTCTTTTGTTCTGCTTTATTTTCAGATTCACAACCATGCATATTAAGGCATTTTGATAAAATACGTTGAACTTATTAAGAGTCTCAAACTAAGACCGGCATTTAAAGTACAGTGCCATTTTCGATCAGTATTCAAATAAAAGCTGACATTATTCGTTTCCCCCATCAGCTCATTATGTACATTGAACAGCATTAACTTATTTATTGTCCAGTAATAACAAGTAGGTTCAGTGTCCTGTGCAATTAAGATGACAAAAGGTAATTAAAACAAGACGTGATTTTTTTTCATCAGCACTTTGAGTATGTGCAGTGTTCAATAAAGCTGTGAATGGCGCTTTGAGTGCAAAATGCTGATTGCTTTTCTTTCACTTGCACAAGATATTAACAACCGCATTTTATTAGCTCCTTTTGAGAGATTGCCGAGTGGCTGTACATTGTATATTTTAATTTTCCAGCTTCATTGCTTTGTCTGAATTACATGTACAAAAACACAAATCTAAAATAAACATAAAATTCTCATTTCCTAAAATTTTCTGGGTTTGATTAAAATTTATAAAAAACATTTTAACAAAAGAGACAACATTTTGAACGGCTATATTCGAATCCAGAAACTAACGCTCTTTTGTGGCGTACATTTTGCTTTTAGCGCGTTTTAATAAAGCCGTACTTCCTGCTTTGTGGAGCTCATGTCAGTGGCTGTATAAAACGGCAGAAAGTAAATACATAAATTAATACCAAGTTTTGCAAATCAATAAAATATAATAAACTAAAAAATACCTGTACACTATGTGACAAATGGTATGGAATGACTCCTCACCTTCTGCCTCATCTGACCCTGACCTCTAATCCTCACATTCCTCACCCTCCACTGTTGTATAGATGACCTGGTTCCTGCGTTTGATTCTGGGAGTTGTGTCTCTACTGCCAGCAGCCTTTGTCTCATCGCTGGTACGTTTTAGGATACGTACAGCTGTTGCATCCTCATCATCACCCTCACAGTGTCCTTCCCCTTCTGCTCCAAAGTGAGAGCGGGCTACTGCGGGGGTAGAGTGGGCGGGAGGTGGCAGGTTCATTAGGTTGGACATACGGGTGGGGGAGAAATCTGATTTGGGCTCGGGCAGAATCATACGGCTCGGGGTGTGGATTTCACCTACAGGTACATCAGAGAGCTCATCTCCCTTTGCTGCCGCTTTTGAGTTAGACCTGTCCTCAACCTCCTCCTTTCCCTCCTCTTCCTCCCACTCATCCTCTATTGTGATCTCATCAGGATTTAATGAACTCGACAGCCCCGAAGTGTCGGTTGGATACTCGCTTGGCTCGTCCACACTTGCTACACTATGTTCGTCTTCATCCTCCTCCTCCTCCTCCCCTCCAGTACTGCCCTGAGCTCTCCCCAAACCATCTCCTCCCTGCCCAACCTGGGCGTAGATGTCTGTGAGACCTAACGTGGCACAGAGCTCGGTCGTCTGAGGATTGGTGTTACAGCTGGGGGTGGCATGGGGCTGTGGGTTGTTGGGGTCATACGGAGGCACAGTCCGGCTAAAGTTGTCTGGAATGGCAAGCTCACCGCTGAGATCCTCCACCACCTGCATCATAGCTTCTTCTGAAGGTCTAAAGTCCCACCTGATGGTTATAGACAATCCATATTGTAAAAGACAGCATGAACCAAAACTGTAAGCCCAACAGCTGTGTCGTCATGTTTCAGTAAACTGCAAAAGTCAATCCCAAACACTACTGATATATTCAAGCTTGTCTTGTGTTATAAGATAGTAAACTGAATATGAAAGAGAAAAATCACTTTGCACACAGCAAGTACTTTGGGGCTGAAGGTGTGAATTGCTCTGTGGCATTTCTGTATGTTGTATTTTGTACCTTCATTGTCTGAAATGTTAGACCAAGCTTTATTTTAACACCTGTATGCCATTGCTAATTGCTACACAAGCTGTGTGTGTTTATATTTAAGCCTTTGGTCCACTGCATATTTTCATGAGCATGATGAAGTCAAATGTGTAGTACTTGTAAGTTTTAAGAATAGATCTTTTTTTTGCAGCTTAAGTGTGCAGTCTCTACCACAAACACTTGTGATTAGTAAACTAAACTACATTTGTTGATCAGACAACTCAAGGCATTATCTAGACCAAAACAGTTATTAGCTAATTAATTTATCAAGAGATTAATCTGCAAAAAATTCAATAATGATCATTGGTTGTATACCCAGAATATAAAATATATCCAACTGCACTGGTACCCATCTACTGAGCATCAGTGATAACGGTGAGGTGAGGTGTCTGTGCTGAGCCAAAAGGACACCAAAAGACAGTACCCACCCTGCGGCCATCTGGCAAGAGACGTATCTGCTGTCGCACCACCAGACTACAGAGCAGCTTCTTCCTCCAGGCTGTGAGACTTAAATTCATCCTCAGCGCTTCACCATATCAGTTTCTTTTTCACCATGTCAATTATTTTCTGTGACTTGTTATTTAGCCATCCATCTACTGTATATCATTTTTCTATATAACATTTGCTTTTTGCGAGTAGCATAAAGGGAACCACAGCTTAATCTCATTATAGAACCATGTGTTGTAAAATGACTAATAAATCTACCTTAATTTCCTTCTATAGGTAAAAAATTTAATTTATCAAGTCCGTTTTATGTTCAGGCAGCTACTTTTTCCCCCCGAGTCTTAAATTTAGGAGTTTGCCTAATTTATAAAAATAAGTTTAACTGAAATTATGACATGCCAGGTCTGCTTCAGTGGAGCTTTAGCTACGTTAAGTTACGGCTTGAAAATGATTGTCTTTTGGTTTCCCCAATTTATATCCATGAGTGGCTCTTGAGGCACCATAGGGTCCTTTTCACTGGGATGACCATATTTCAACTGACTGCATTTTCACTGCCTGTAATTGCTTGTCTAAATATCTTGTGTACCGTTCGTGCAGGCCATTATTCTCTGGTGGGTTCCAGGGGTGGGGGGTGGTCCTTTGTAGACTATTGGTGGCCTTCAGAATAGCAAGCCACTCTGGATCATACTCAAGACCCTCAGATGAACCCGGTCTCTCTGGAACATCCACAATCTGCAACACAAGTGTACATATATATTTAATGCTTGCTTAGATCTATCACCCCTACACCTTAAACTTGCCTGTGACCTTTGTATTATTTAACAACAAAACTTTCTCTCACCTGTAAGAATTCCCTATAGGGCAGACACTTATCCAGGGACAGGAATTTGGTTACACGTGGGGCAGCATTACCTTTAGGCTAAGGACAAGAGAATCCACTGAGTTGGTTTAATACATTGGTACATTAGATTGATACTCAGAATAATAATCTAAAATGTATCAGTGGCACATTAGCAGCAATACAGCTAGCTGCAGAAAAACTGTCGCTCTCACCGGATGCTGCATAACAGCAGCAAATTTCACATGAAGATGTGCAGAGAACCAGTAGCTGGGTTGGAGGTGAGCTAGGAGCTCCTCAGCAGCAGGACTTCCAAGAGTGTTGGACTCCACTTCCTGACGCAGGAACTTCTTTTTTCGCAACAATTCCCCTGTGCTTCCATAGTGGTAGATTCCACGAGGCCAGTCATGGCTCATGAAAATGTCTATGGGCATCTGGATCTTAGTGGGGAAAAACATTTATGAATCGATACACACTGTTAAGATATAAATTAACAATATTTTAAGTTGTGAGCAAGATAACAAGTTGAATGTAAGATATTTACCTGTTTTAACTTGAATACCTCAATATTTCGGATGTGATATACACTTCGAAGTGTGTCAGGATTGTATGGAGGGAATTCATGGTGACCTTAAAGAGCACACATTTCTTGTAAACATACTGGGACATGTATAAAACTTAACCATTAAGCAGTAAAAAAGGGTTTACCAACCTCTTCTGTAGTCACGTGATTTGAAGATGCCAGATACACCACCAATTCTAATCCCTTTGTAGCGAATAACACCAGCATAACCTAGGGAAATACTGTCAAGTCAGACCTGGGAATTAACAGATAGACAGAATAATCACATCTACTGTCTGCTGGTCCCTACCCAGATAATAAATGTTGGGTGCCACCCAGCCTCCATAAGGCAGCTCCTGCAGGTGGTTTGAAGCCTCATGGTTCCCTCCAATGAAGATGGTCAGTACTGGAGCCTTCTTCTCTCCAGAATAGTATCTGCAACAAAGACAATTTGTTTTAAATGGCCCTGAATCACATCTTGCACTTTTTTAAACAAGAAAAAAAAGACTGACTTGTAAAAGGTCTGCATCGTTCTGTACTTGGCTGGTACCGCCATACACTTCATGTCTCCCTCATTTCGCACTGCTTGGAAGTCTCCACAGCAAAGCAGCAGGTCCACTTTCACCCCTTCCTTCTTCTCCAGATAGCTGATTGTCTCGTAGATCTTGTCCAGCTCCCCATGGCAGCAGCCTTCCACTGCAATCTTCATGCTGCACAAACAGGTAAGCTGCGGATCCCCCAGGAAATCACAATTAGGGTTTGGTTTGTATTCTCTGACCACCTATTGGCTGTCAGTCTCAACACTTTTTAAGAGTGCCATGATTCAAGAGCAATAGGAGCAAAAATTATTTTGTTCCTTGTGCAATAACCCTGTTAAATCGTCTCGGGTAACCTTACATTTTAGAGATTGTTTTTTGTGTTCTGTATGAACTGATCACAGTATTTTGTACATGTTTTTTCTACTTGTGTTGTCTATCTGATGATGTATGTTTTAGCGTGTATCCTGACTGCAACTTAAGTTTCCCCACTTGGGATAATAATAAATGAGCTGAACTGAACACAAAGATGGGTGTATATAACATTTAGTGATTTGAAAAACAAAGTTCAAAACATTGGTGATGCTATTCCTTTCACTAAAAAGTATTAGTATTAGTTAGAGCAATAACATGGTTTTAAGTCAGTAGGTTTGACAATAAAATTACTC